TACGGAACCAAACGGAACCGAACCGACCCGAACCGAACCGAACGGAACCGAACCCGAACGGTTCCATAATTATATTTGGACCCGACGGGTCCATTTATTAAATACCCGAAAGTTTTGGGTCGGTTCGGGTCTCTTCAGAACCGAACCGAACCGAACCGACCCACGGACAACCCTAGGTAGTGCGTGGATTTGTTCTGTCGATGGTGGTGGACAAATATTTTATTATATCGGAAACAAAAATAGTAACTAGGCCCGACCTCAAAAAAAAAAAAAGGCTTACCACACCTGGATACGTAGGATTCAATGTAAAAATGATAAGATCAACTTTCGATCATTAGGCATCTAGGTTCGAAATATTTCTTGTATGTAATATATATATACAAAACTCCAATTAAAAAAAAGAAAAAAATTGCACTATCAATCTTGAAATTATTGTTTAAGTAGCAAGTTGTTATGAGGATAAGTTTCACTTTCAAGTACGGACATAAGTTGAGAAATAAAATATAATTTTATAAAATTGGACATGTGATTGTAATTAAAGTTGGGGGACAGACTTGCTCATTTCTAACGAATGGAGACTCAGTTGTGCAAATATCCTTCTATATATCCACTCATTTCATTGAGAAGTGTAATCTCACGCCAGCATTCTCCACTCACCCAAAATTCAATTTTTCACAGAGAAAATGCTGCACAACACCAAAAGCTAACAATATCGATTATCAAATTAGAAAGAAGTGATTTTTATTGATGTTTTTGAAGTAAAGAATGTATAATTAAAATATTTTATCCTCAGAACGTACGGTGAAAAACGAGTAGTTAAAAAAAAAAAAGTTATAAAATAATGGTGGTGAAACAGGGGCTTAATACATGATAAAGATCCGATTTTTCTGCTTAATTAATCAAAGAAATTGAACCCGTTTCATTATCAATTAGTATTGAATTTTTGTGGCTTGATATAATTTCATGGCGACCAAGAGGTATTTGTTGAGCAGAATTTGGAGGGGAAGAAATATTAGGAGCCTTAGCGCAGTCCCAGAAGGCAGCAGCGCCTCTTCACCTTCTCACCAACTCATCGATTTGGAATATCAGTGCAGTGCCCACAAGTAATTTGAATCTCGCCATTCCTCCTCTGTGTAAAATATTACGTGTTTATTGTTTTGGTGCTAGTATATGAATTGTTTTTTTATCATCTGTCCGTTCAATGTTTTGCTTGCTAGGTTTTGTTTTTAGCTCGTAGGTTCCAAGATGATTTGTGCCTTATCTGTGTAACTGTGTTTTATTTTCAAGTTGAACACGAATTTCATTATTTATACTGCGTCATGTAATACCTCAAGAAAGAAAAATAATTCTGGGGAAAAAATAATAGAGAGAAGAAATTATGAGATAGATGTATGAGAAGAGGATATGTATCTTGAGTTTTCTTCTTTCGAGGCGGGGTTACAAATATTTTTCCTCTTCCTTGAAAAATATTTATGTGATTTTAATCTAAAAGTATTATTTTAACTAAATATCCAACATTAAGCTTGCTACAAGTTAACAGTTTAATTCTTTTCTTGCATCTTGAGAGGGGTATTATATGCACACACTTCAAATTATTTTTACTTGTTCTCTGGCTGCTTCTTAAGCCCCTGTTTGACACCCATTTTGTAGAAAAAATAAATTCTAGAATAGTGATTGATGGAATAATGTGTGGTTAAAAAGTAATGAGAATTTTTAGGTTTATGTGTAGTATTATTTTATTGATAGAATGTGCGGTTGAAATAAAGAAAGAGAAAAAAAAATGAGAATGAGAAGAAAATGGGTGTCAAACAGGGCTAAATATGGATTCTCATATATTTTGTCCAAGATGATTATCATTGCCAGTAGTTTTAATCTAATTCAAACCCTGTCACTACGTTTTTTATTGGAATCTACAAATATTTGGGAGGAAATAAACTTTAGATTCTATGTAAGCAAATATTGACAATTTGATATTTCATTATTCAAAGCTCTGGGAGTTTTTTTATTACAATAGTAATGATTACAAGAACGGGGTTGTGCTTGCACTTCAATAGGTTCAATTTTTGGTCATTGATTCTGTAATTCAATACGCTTTGGTTATGTTGCAGTTACCATCCTATTCCTGTTGTTTTTTCACAAGCAAAAGGATCATCTATCTGGGATCCAGAAGGCAAAAAGTATATAGACTTTCTATCAGCTTATTCTGCTGTTAATCAGGTAGGAAGGAAGAACATTGTGGGGTGTCTTAATTTGATTTCATACTCATTTACGCCTTGTTATATTAACCATTTCTGTATCCCTGTCTAGCGGAAAGACTTGACAGCAGGAATCTGATTCCCCAACCTTTTTTTAAGCCTTCTGTTCAAAGGCTTAAATGTGGTCCTTTTGTTTTACTAGTTTTTGTTCACATTTTAGTTCATAGAATGCAGATTTTAACTGCTTTGTGTCATCATGGAGGCAGAGAAGGGATCACTTGTATTTTACTTTATTGTGCGATAGGCTTATTAATGGTTTCTTCGAACCAAAGGACAAACATTTAAACTCAGTCTCTTGCTGCAGGGTCATTGTCATCCGAAGATAATTAAAGCATTGGCAGAACAGGCTGAAAGACTCACTCTCAGCTCGAGAGCCTTCTATAATGACAGATTTCCAGTATTTGCAGAGCATCTGACCAGCATGTTTGGCTATGATATGGTGCTGCCAATGAATACAGGTGCTGAAGGGGTAGAAACAGCGTTGAAGTTGGCGAGGAAATGGGGTTACCTGAAGAAAGGAATTCCTAGAGATGAGGTATCAAACTTTAGTTTGTTTCTTTTTTCTCTTCAGTATAAATATATGATATGGTATAATACAGAAACTGCTTGGTTTCTGGCCACTAGATTAGATTTGTTGGTCTCTGGTCCTAGCTTGTTAAGGATTTGTAGGGTAAAGACCAATATATTCATGATTAATTGAGTAATAAATAAAACGAAGTTTCTTATTTTTGCTGCTTTTATTGGAGACTTAGTTGTTACTGTTACTATTGTTATAATACTTTTTCTGGCTCGAAAAATGAGGGGGGATGGGGGGAGGGAGTAGCACTGTTCAACTACTTTCCTTTCTTTTATGATGCATAGATAAGAAGCTGTTGCTTGNAGATAACAAGATGTGTTTCTTGGACATGTTCTGAATTAAGCTTTTGGAAACAAAAGGGCAACATTCACATTTGACAAAGAATGCCATCGGAGGTGATTTTTGGGGAAAAAAATAAAAAAATTATTTGATTGCGCATTTCAACAAGAGAATAACTGATAGCACTGAAAATTATGTCATTTGCAGGCTATAATTGTTTCCTGCTGTGGCTGCTTTCATGGTCGGACACTGGCTGCTATTTCAATGAGCTGTGACAATGAAGCAACCAATGGTTTTTGGCCCTTGGTGCCAGGTCATCTGAAAGTTGATTTCGGTGATGAAGTTGCCCTTGAGAAAATATTTAAAGGTTTGTGAACTGAAGTTTTCTTATAATAGTGGTGTTTTGCTTACACATTTGGCTGGCTTTGGTTCAGATTAAAGACCTTGATCATCCATATTTTTGTAATCCACTAGGATCACCAAAAATTTGATAATTTTCTACTGTACATAATGGAACTTATTTATTTCAGAGAAAGAAGATCGGATAGCTGGTTTTCTGTTTGAGCCGATTCAAGGGGAGGCAGGGGTATGTATGTTCCACATTGAAATGATTGTTGCAGAAGAGCATGTGTACATTTCTCATCTTCATTCTTATAGTTTGTAACGAGTCATAAACAAATTAAATCACATGTATGTGCCTCTAGATGGAGAATTAAACTAGCTGATATGCCCGCTTGTACCAAAATTGACAAATGACATTTTACAAGTATCTTCAATTCACAAAAATCATTCCTGGTTTAGGCCTTATAATGTCACGAACAAGTTGAACACGATCTATATGGCCTTATAATGCCACGAACAAGTTAAACACGATCTATATGGTCTCCTATATAGTGATGTTTGAGAACCAGTGGAAGGACCTTGTTAGCAGATTAAAGGGGTAGATTGGGGCAAGATGCTTTTAAGTGATTTTTCTTCTAAACTATTTCCTTCCATTATAGTTATTGAGAGGTTTTATGAGGTTCTACTTGTTGCTAGGTTATTATCCCTCCAGATGGTTATCTGAAGGCGGTCAGAGATCTTTGCTCAAAATATAATGTCCTAATGATTGCTGATGAAATACAAAGTGGCTTAGCACGCTCTGGAAGAGTTCTGGCTTGTGATTGGGAAGATGTCCGCCCTGATGTTGTTGTAAGGACTTTTTATTTGATACTGAAACAGACGGGTATAAAATGTGGCATATATTTTGTCTGCTTTTGAGATAGAAAACCTGATTCTTGAAGCAACTAAATTGACGACCTACCTGGATGAAAATTACAAGCATGTACAAATCCATCCATTTTCAGGGGAAAGTTTGGCAGTTCATTCATACCACATCTTACCACCAAACAGCCGACATTTTCATCCACGTGTAAAAATGTCGGGTAGGAGTAGTTTTTTGCATATTTAAGAAAATTAATCCAATGTAATTTAAAAATTCATGAATTTAATTGGAAAAATGTATATTATGTTCCCTATGTTAAGCGATGCCCACCAGGGACTTCGAGAAAAAGATAAAGATAAATGCAGAATAAAAGAGCACATATAAATGATACTTTTCTCATGTTGGATGCTGTATTGCTAAGTCAGCACTATGAAATATGTGCTCAGCTGGTGGTGCATAAGTCTTGAAGCCATAATGTTCATCTTGATGTATGGTCAGAGATCTTTTTTGGGGCAGGTTTTGTCTCCGTGCATTCTCAAAATGTATGCTATAAAATTTACAGTTCATACACTTCCATGCTTCAAAATTATATCTCTTGTTGTTTTCTTGTTAAGATACTTGGAAAGGCATTGGGCGGTGGAGTTTTACCTGTTAGTGCAGTTCTTGCAGATAAAGATGTTATGCTCTGCATTCAACCTGGCGAGCACGGAAGGTTTGTGGTTTTAATACATTTACTATAAAACTATTCTTCATTAATTTATTTTCTTCTCTTTTTTAAAAATTATGACACCACGCAACAGCATCAAAATTATGTATAATTGGTGTATTCCATTGATTTGTTTATCTGACAATTGAGGTAATTGTATAAGCATCCAATAAGTGAATTGGTGTCTCTCTCTTGAAAGATCGAAGGCATGCAGTACTTTTTCCATTCTGTCGAGAACCCTACAACTATTTTTAATGTGTTGAAATGGATTTCCTTTCTTGTTCTCAGTATATTCGTTTATGATGCATCTTTGATCCTGCTCTTGATAATTTACTAGATTTCCAGTTACAGCTTACGTTACTTCATGATTTTGATTGTCATTTTGCAGCACTTTTGGAGGAAACCCTTTGGCCAGCGCAGTTGCTATTGCATCACTAGAGGTGATAAGAGAAGAGAGACTTGCTGAAAGGTGCCCAACTTTTTAACAGTGTTACATAAAAGTCACCCAATAAAGATTTTGAATTTAGTTGATTTAGTCATTTGGATTGTAGTTATCAGACCCGAGCCACCAGGTCCATTGATCGGATCAGCAGGTCAATTTTATATAGCAAATTTTTAAAAATTATTGATTATACCTTTTAAACGATGTACATTTTTTATTTTTTGAAAATAATAAATAAGTTATAAATAGTTTATTTTTCATTACAAAAATAATGAATGCGCTCTTTCAATTTTTCATGTACAATCTATTCACAAAATATTTTTTTTTTCCAAGTTATTCTAATAGAAGTTAAAGATTATACATGGACATTCGAGATTCTAGAAAACTAGTATTGCATATAGTTTCAGTTATTTAAACAACCAACTGCAATATCCTAGTGATTTGTTCTCAATGATAATGTCCAAAAGATCATGGGATCAATTCCCCAAAACTACAAATTTTGGACATTATCGGAAAACCGGCGGGTTCATCATAACCGGTTCTCTATAAAAACCCACCAGCTTGTCCGTTTCAAATGCAATACAAGCTTCACCTGGTAGCCGGACTGGACCATGGTCCAGTTCGCCGGTTTCCTGGCCTGCCTGGTTTAATAACTATGATGTAGAATAAACGAAGCATGCAATTTGGAATTTGTGCCATGGAGTATGTTTACAAACCAGTACCTATCATGTATTTTGGTAGGGGAGAGTGACTTTGCTCATGCATTATACTAGTGCTAAGTGGTGCTTCATAAAATGCTGTTTATTCGTGGTTTTGTCTTATTAATCACACTGTTGATCCTACTTCAAAAGTGACCATTGAATACTGATTACAATACCGGACTAAATGACAGGTCTGCTCAACTGGGAGAGGAGCTTAGGCAACTGCTTGCGAAGGTTCATGAACGGTTTCATCAGTTCATCAAGGAAGTGCGTGGAAAAGGTTTGTTCAATGCTGTGGAGCTCAATAGCAAGGCCTTGTCTCCTGTAACGGCATATGATATATGTCTAAAGCTCAAAGAGAGAGGAATCCTTGCAAAACCAACTCATGATTCTATTATCCGCTTGACCCCTCCTCTGTCCATAAGGTATGGAACTATAATTGCAAATCTTTTGCAATTAATATAGTTATTGTTTTACAATTTTTGAGTTACCTTTGTAGTTCAATCGATCCTCCAGATAAGTCAGTGCACAATCATCAAACTAGGATTGCTGATTATTCTTGTAATTATGCAGTAGCTGTAGCAGTGCGAAGTCATAAATGACCTCCTCTTCCTCTCGTTTTTGTTATCTTTTTTCTAGTTATTAATTTGTTTTTCTTCATCTTAGAAAACGGTGGAGTAGGTGGGGTGGCCATATTTTCTGATTTGTATTTAGCCGTCTTTGTTTTATCCTGATTTCAGTTATATTGCTGACTCCATAGATGATCTGAACTTCACCCAGAAGTCTTGTATCGTTGCAAGAAATTTTGACAAGATATTTCACCTTCTTTCCTCATTAAAAACAGAAGAACAAAATTGTTCTGCCTGTTTATCTCAGACGGAAACTTACATATTGACCTGAGATTCATGTGGCCTAAATAGTATATAAATTTGTTCGATATGACTGATTTGATGTTGACGGAACATCCACTTGTTTTGTTGTTAGTATTGATGAGCTCCGAGAAGGCACAAAGGCACTACAGGATGTGTTTGAATTTGATCTACCAAAGATGCAGAAAGAGAAGCCAGAAACTGACCGTCATACAGCCTCTAGTATCTGTGACCGATGTGGCCGTAACTTGTATGATTCTTCTTAGAATTAACTCTCTCTGTTTATTTATTCTTCTCCTGTATGACTTAATATGAAGTAATAGATTGTAAAACTATAGTTTATATATTGAGGTTCAAGCTTCAAAACCTTTACGTGGGTGCTAATTTTATCTGATACCTTTCATTTCTAGCTCTATGATCCGTACTTTTTTTCATTATTAATTTTATAACTTTTGCTTAGTGAAAGGGTTGTGTGAGAGAGATAAATAATGTAAAATCTGAATCTACTATAGATAGGATAAAATTAACATGACTAAGAAGGGCCCTTAGAAGCCGGTTTCTCCACAAGGGATTTTGTCTTTTTGTGATCAATAATCTATTCGAGTATAGAACTGTTTGTTTTTCAAGTTTATGTATATGCAGATGTGTACATAAGGTGGAAACAATATAATGCAAAAACTTTTGGTTGTATAGAATATACAGTAAGAATTGTACCTTCCTTTATATTATAAAGAAGCAAATCAGGATAAGACCTTTTCAGAATGAAATGGATTCTCTGTATTTCGTTATTGTATTATGACATTCTTGTGGAGCTTAGCTGTGATCATCTGCAAGGTTTTTTGAAGTTTCTATTCTTTGTGCCTTGACATGTCACATGTCCAGGGTAATGCATTCCTCATTTGTTTGGTGGGATCGACTGTACAGTATTAAAAGGATTCAAAATAAAGAAGTTAAAAGCTTATATAATGTCACGTCGGGCGAAATTTATCAGTGTTTTTTTTTTTTTTTTTGAAAAATGTATTCTTGTGAAATGTTCTTTCATTAGAATATACATTATTCCAACCATTGGTAGGGAAGCTATGGTCTCACAGTCTTTGTATTTTGGTTGGACTAGAAATGTTAGTCCAAAAGTCATGACTAAGTATGTTTATCCATTGTCATTGGTTTAAGATTAAATTGAAGTCTTTTTCTATGGGAGATGAGTAGATTCAAAGTATAGGAATCTGCAAAAACTTGTGTAAAACAACATATTACCTCTCAATGCATGTCTAGGATTACTTGATGGACTTATAATATTAGTAACCCATGCGTGCAAGTATGAACATTCAAATCATATTGGACATTTACCCATTTGATAGCTAATTGACTTAATGTCTTTTATATAAAAAGCATTTGGAGGTTGGTTTTTCGCGTGTGAGAAGCATCTTCTTCGTTGGAGGTTGGATTGTGTGTGATTGAGAATGAGTGTGACAGAAAATCAATTCCTACACAAGCACTACGAAAGTAAAATAAGTTAAAAAAATTTATGTTGTGCTGTCAAGTCTCGTTGAATTTCGTGGACCATACACTATTGTTTTGAGGCCAATTCTTGGATGGAAGTGAAATAAACACTGCACTAACTATGTTTTGTCTTCTTCTCCTTGTGTTAATACTAAGTTTGATTTTTTATGCCTTTAATAATTATAAGTTGATAATGACTTTTTTAGTGTTCCCTAAAAGCCACTTTATTAGTGCATAGCTTATAAACAAACCATTTTCAATTGCCCATAACTATGAAGGTGGACCCTAACTAGGAGGGCATGTGGGGTTATTGCCTCTCTTTGATTGGCATTAATTGATTGTGGAGAGCCCCTATCATTTTACATTATAAATTTGAAAAGTCTCTTTCAAGATTTTGTAATTGTCCCTCTTTTATAGTTGTGGGGATGACCTAAAATTATGAATATGATATGTCTCTTTCAAGATTTTTCAAGGAAGGAAATCCATGAAATATAAGAGCATGTTTGGTTATGCTTAAAAGTTTTATCTAGATCAAAAAAGAAACTTTCCAGTTTTAACCTACTTTTAATTATTGACTGAACTTGTCCAGGGTCACCAGTTCGAGTCCTCTCGGGGCCACTGAAGTGAGTACCCGACCGTAAATTTCAGGGCCCCGTGGAATTAGTCGAAGTGTGCGCAATCTGGTCTGGACATCCACGGTTATCAAAATAAAAAAATTATTGACTAAACTTGCAGTATAAATTAGCAATGTTGATCATATTTTCTGCACGGACTACTTGAAAAAATGTTTGATCTTTTTATCGATCCAAAGAAAAACACATTTACCCCGAATATAGGGTTTGCACAATTTCACATGATGATTGATACCTAGATGGGATACAACGTTAATTAAAATCATGATCTAATCAACGTATTCTTAAAGAAAACTTAACGTAATTAAACTTTCATAATCGTCTTTCAACTCTAATTTTTATTGGTATTGTCGTCGATTAATATACAAGTCAATCTTTTGGACTTTTAATTTGTTGTACATGCCACACTTACATGTGAATATGCTATTGCTCGTATAATTAATTATATTATCATGGTTTTTGAGTCGCACGTAACTTTAGTAATTTTTTTAAAAATATACAAGTTGTTCGATAAAACTTTTGCTAAAAGGTTTAAAAGATTTTGATAAAAATTAATAAAAACAGTGGATCCCAAAATGTAGTGTTAAAATTAATTGTTTACTTGCATTTTATTCATAGGTGGGAAAAATTATCTTGAAATTATAAATTTACTTTTATTGAGAATATTGTGAGCTTTCTTTGTTCATCACTTTTGAACATTGGGTTAAACTTAGAAACGAGTCACGCTTGACATTACACTTGATGAGAGCTTGTACAACTTGCAATTTTTTTACGGATTAATTAATGTAAAAGATCAAGTATGAAATTTATAAGATTAGAAATGTATGGAACAAATCAACACCCACTTTAAGGTTTAGGGACTCTATTTGCAATTAACCGGGCATAATATTTTTTTATTTTTTATTTTTGGCAGCTAAAGTGTTCAATGCATTTGATAAGGCCCAACATCCAACTAGGCATGGTTGTTAGTAGGAAAAAAATGATTATGATGAAATGCCCTATGATCATTGAAGTTACACCAGGATTATTGAAGTTGGAGTAGAGAAACTCAATTCATAACCTTGGACGAAAATGATACATCTAAGCTCATTTCATCTTAGTTGTTTGAGAAAAATAAAATTAAAATGCCTTAGAGCGAGTCGTGAAGAGGCAATGCAATAAAGTACATAAATTGGACTCAAGAACTCAGTCAAGCTTGAAGAAATGTCGTAGAGATTGATCCACCATGACATGAAGCCGTTGAGCTTAAAATCAAAATTAAAATGAAAGCGAAGCTAGCTAGATCTATAAAGTTGCACAAACTATTGTCGTTTTGAGCTCAATCACATTGAACAATGTTTCTCTATTGCGAACTCAAACAAAAGATGATTAATTATGTGAATCTAGGAAAGGAAAATTTGCATCCTAGTTACGCCAACAAGTATTACTCATTGTCACGACATCTATCAACCATTCGCGAAATATAACAATTTACTATTATGTTCACTAGCATAAACTCAACTCATCATTTCATATCTGGATTTCATTTTAACTCTTGAGCATATCATTACACTATCAAACTCTTACAAAAACCGAAATACCAACTTAATTATTATAGTAGAAACTACGCGTATCATTCCTTCGTTGATCAAGTTTACATGGAAATTTATTTTGCAATTATTACCAATAAGCACAAAATACCCTATTTTCCCAATCTCATACACATTAACACCCCTCCCAATCATTTCACCAAGAAAAGAGAAAAATAAATTAAATACATAGATTTGTTGTCTTTGTAAGAAAGAAATGTACCATATAAAATAAGGAGAATTGCAGCCCGGTCCCAAATTTTTGGATTTTTAGTAGATTTTATCCTAACATTCAGTTTGTGTCAACGAAAATCCTAAACCTTTGAGAAATTAGCAGCTGAAGCCCAATTAGATGAAAACCATCCAGCTATTAGTTAGATGACCAAGAAAATTGGATTTTGATCAATTTTAACCAAAATAAGGGTGTGTTCAAACCACATTATTTTAGAAGAATGTATTTTGAAATAGTAGATTGATGGAGAATGCGTGGTTGAAAAAGAAGGAAAAGTTATTGATGTGATGAAAAATATTATTTTATTGAAAAATGTGTGGTTGAAAATGAGTAAAATAATGAAAATGAAAATTTTAATTTGTACCAAACAGGAGCTAAAATGGACAAAATAGTAAGTTTAAATTTAATACATTAAATAAATAAACAAAAAACCAAAAAATTGGAGGGAAAAAAAGGTTGTCTTCTTCACAAACAGTCCATTCCCACCTCCATCTCACGCCCTTTCCCAACCCCACTGAAAATCAGCAACCAACACTGTTGCCCAACACCGGCACTACCTCCGGCGCCTCCTTCAGCAAACTTATACAGCCCCCGTTTGGGCCACTTTATTTTCTCATTAAAATGAAAAATATGACCGTTATCTATCACATCAACATTTAAATTCAAATTTTCTATCTTTTGTGTGGACCCAAAGAACTACAAAAGGATGGCTCAAACAAGGCCACAATGCTTTCCAATTTGAACACATACATGTTAAACCGCCATTTTCAAATGGATCAAACATATACAACACACCTAACTTAAACTGGTTTGATTTTCTTGAATTTTCTCGAAAAATTCATTGAAACTGAGGTACATCTTCAATAGCTCTATCAAATTTCCAATGAATTCTAACACAATCCTTTGAACCAATTTTCACTCAAATCAAGAACCTTCAGTTTGATCAAATTTTTGAAAATATTGGCATAAACTTGTTTCTCGAAAGTGTAAGCTGATCAAGATTAACTAATTCACCAAACCCACCTAGGATTGTCCCAGAAACATTGGTTCCAATAAAAACCAGCTTTCTTAAACTCATTAAAGTAGTCAGAAAGGTCAAGTGTCACGGCTTCGACCACCACTCCACCATCTCCAACAAATTAATCTCAGAAATGGACCCCCCTCAAAATCTTGTTGTGAAGGCTGTGGATTCTGGGTGAGGAAAACAATTTGAGAATTTGGAAATAGGTTTTCGAATTTGGGATTAAACATGCAAAATTGGGGGTTTTGAAGGAATGAATTCGCGAAATTTTGGTACGATGACAATTGGCGATTTGACGTCATGATGGTGGTAGCTGCAATGGCAACGAATGGTGAGGTGATGGCCAGTCGACCAACGGTGGGAGGTGGTTTTCCTTATTTAGAGGGTGTTTGACACCCATTTTTTGAAGAATAAAATTTTTTGAACAGTGATTGATGGGAGAATGTGTTGTGGAAAAGTTATGAAAAATTTTAGATTTGTGTGTAATATTATTTTATTGGAAGAATGTATGGTTGAAATGAAGAAAGAGAAACAAATAAAAATGAGAATAAGAATAAGTGCAAAACATGGACTTAATTTTGATTGTGGGGATGGGGTAGGCTCGGTGGAGTGGGGGAAGAAGTTTCAGTTCTTCGCTTTTTTTTATTATTTAATATTTTAATTGTTTATAATAGAAAAATCTAAAATTACCATTTATCCCTTTTAATTGATCAAAATTGATCAAAATCCACTTTTATTGGTCAAGTAATGGTCAATTGGATGGTTTTCCATCCTAGTGGCCTCCAGCTGCTAATTTATCCAAGGTCTGGACCTTCGTAACACAAACTGAAGGTTAGGGTAAAGTCTGTTAAAAATTCAAAGGTTTGGAACCGCTCCAACAATTTTCCCTATAAAATATAAATAATATGAAATTATACCCGAAGTGTAAACTGAAGCCCTAATTTTCCATTGACGTTCCCATTTCCCCCACTCACGTTTATCTCCTTTCAGTATTCTGTCTCTCCCAAGTTTCCTCCGCAGCCGCCGCTCCCCACAGCCGAGAAACAATGGAGAATCTTGTTTCTATTGTTCGAAGCTGAGATCTTTACCTATAAAATGAAGAATCTCTCCCCACCCATGTCTTTCTCAGATCCATAATTCCTCACAGAAGCTACTGATAATTAACCACCTATACCCGTACATATACATATATAGTCACGGATATATACGGGAGTTGCAAGATGGGTTCGATGCGGCTAGATCTGAGTGGCAAGATTTATCCAGACACTATCGATCACTTTGACACGCTACCGGATTCTCTTGTGCTCTTGATCTTCAACAGAATTGGAGATGTCAAGGCTCTGGGACGATGCTGCGTGGTTTCTAGAAGATTCCACTCGCTCGTTCCGCAGGTGGATAATGTCATTGTTCGAGTTGACTGCGTCATCTCCGAAGATGATCCTGCCTCCTCCTCCACCACCTCGTCTGGCTCTTCTGCCACCTATAAGTCCCGCAACCCTGTATCCTCTCTTTTTCGCTTCGTCATCTCTGGTCTCTTTAAGCCGCTTCAGTCATTGACCCAGCTTATTACTTCCTCGACTCACTGCCACTCAATTTCATCGAATTCAGAAGATTTGAACCTGGATTCTGACCGGAACATCGTGACTCACCATTCCCCTACTGAAGTCTTGAAGAATTTTAACGAAATTAAGCTTCTCCGAATTGAATTGCCGAGCGGTGAGCTCGGGATTGATGAAGGTATTTTGCTCAAGTGGAAGGCGGATTTTGGGTCTACACTGGATAATTGCGTCATTCTTGGAGCCTCCAGTGTAAGTCAGACTGCGAAAAGTAATGAATTTTCTGGTGCTTGTACGGTTAATAATGATAATAATGGGAATAATATTGGAGCCGAGAACGATAATGGGAGCATACCCGAATCATTTTACACTAATGGGGGCTTGAAATTACGTGTAGTGTGGACAATAAGCTCCTTGATTGCGGCGTCTGCTAGGCATTATCTGCTTCAGCCAATAATAGCGGAGCACAAGACGCTAAAGAGCTTGGTTTTGACAGATGCCGATGGGCAGGGAGTGTTGTCTATGAATGAAGAGCAGTTGGAGGAGCTGAGGATGAAGCCTCTATCAGCCTCTTCAGCTTCCAAGAGGACTCTGGTTCCGGCTCTGAACATGCGGTTGTGGTATGCTCCCTATTTGGAATTGCCCAATGGGATGGTACTGAAAGGAGCGACTTTAGTAGCCATCAGGCCTAGTGAGCAGCCGAAGGAGGTGGTGGGGTCAGAAGTGAATTGGGTTGTGTCAGCTTTTGAAGAGCCGTTTGGGACAGCTGTGAGGATGTTGGTGAAGAGGAGGACTTATTGTCTGGAAATGAACTCATTCTAAATTGGGGGACGGCGAATGAGTGTCTGAGGTAATGCCTTTCATAGCACTTAGTGTAAATTCTTATTTGGTTTATAAATGTATTTATTGTGAGCTTTCTTCTGTATTTAAAAGCCATGGAAGAAACTGTTTGGGATTTCGCATTAAATAGCAGAATTGGTATTATTGCATTTTCCTTTGTAGCATAGATTCTCAACAGTTGACATTAGTGTGTCGGAATCACGTGTAAATTTGCTCAGTCAATGTAGTTATAGTTATTGCTCAGGGCACAATGTGTAGTTCGCCAGGCTCATGATGTCACAAATTTGGGATCTACATTTTTTCTGATTCTATGATCTACATCTTATGACGATTTTATGTTTCTTGTCGGAATCACGTGTAAATTTGCTCGGTTAATGTAGTTATATTTATTGCTCAGGGCACAATCTGTAGTTCGCCTTACTCATGATGTTGCAATGGGATCTACATTTTTTCTGATTCTATGATCTACATCTTATGACGATTTTATGTATCTTGTCGTTTAGCTTTGCCTATAGACTGATGAATAATATATTAGAATTTTGATAGCTGACATCTGCAATTCTGATGTGTATTTGTTGTCTTACATAGTGTTTTATTTATATTTCTGGTCCTCGGTATTTTTGCAATAACAGGAAGCTGCCATTGCATTTTCCCATTTTCTCTTACTTTATATCTACTTAATAATTAGTTCTCTGGTCGATGCATTTATACCTGTTATAACCTATGAGTTTGATTAGTCTTTATTCTTTTACGGCTGGTTTTAGAGAGTGCTATTCTTTCTTTGATGTAAAAGTTGAAAGTATTTTGCATTTATACATGACTAATTGCTCAAATTTTTTATCGTCATCAGTGTAAGGCATTATGTTAACTATATTGAATCAAGGTCACACTACCATACATGAATTTTGCGCGCTTTTACGTTTTTCATACAATTCTCTATGAACATTTTATTACTCAGCACGTTAAATCTCTAGTATGTGTGTCATTAAAGTTATATTGATTATTTCTCTGTTGTAAACTAGAGAACATAAAAAATCACTTCTAGAATATGTACTAAGACCATATATCATTTAACTAGAGCCAGTATTTTGCTACTGCAATTTGCATGCTAGCTTTCACACCACACAAGATTTATCGTCCATTATATAATTTACATCTTTTGTGTATATTGTTTTGGAAAAAACGCTTCAATTGGTTGTCGCTAATTGTTGAACCAATGTCAGTGCTTTGCAATCTTCATTTTTACACATGCTAGCTTTGAAATTGTGCTGGGTCCATCTCATTTTTCAATTTATAATGCTTGTATGTCTCACATATATATATATATATATTTTTTTTTTTTTGTAACCTGGCAATTGTTTCGTATGATTATTCTGAATTCATCCTTTGGTGCTTATAGGTCTTTCAAGGAAAGCTGAAGGTTGCCTTTTCAAGAAAGGAGGATATATATGTTCTGAGAGGCAGAGAAAACCTAATTTTGTCTTGAGCACATCGTACTATGAATTGAGTAACCGACAGAAGATGATTTTGATTTCTATTACAAATGAATGCCAGCCATTTGTTGGTTATGAGCCATAAGTCTACCTAAGGTTTTCTGGATTATATTGTAAATGCCTTGTGCCAACACGTTTGTCATCTACCTTACTAGTTGCATATCTGTGTATATTTTAGCTATTGAGATCCTTGCTAATGATGTCCCTTTAAAGGTTCATTCAGCAACTTATCTTGCATTTCAGCTGTGTATTCATGTTGGTTGATCACTGACAATAGATATGTGAATAAGCAGACATCTTGTTTCAAAGTAATTTCTCGACTCTCTTTGTGGAGGAGTGTGGTAATATATACCACGTGCTCAAAATGAATGCATCATCGTGTTTGAGCAGGGCTAGTGTATATTTTCGTAAGAATATCATGCCCCATTTTCCTTTACGTGCCTTAGGTAGCAAGAGTCGATTAATCCAACAAGAAAGGTGAAACTGCTCATTCAAGTGAGTGAGTGAGTAACAATGGGCTAGCATTAAATACTGAGGTTGTCAAGTGTGTCATTGTTTCTTATAGGTGCACTGATTTTTTCCATTAATGCTGTGTGGGTTGATAAAAGGATGTGTAGTCTCCAGTTCCTGAAAAGTTAGGTTCAGATTTTCCAGCTATGTCCTGTGGATTTTTTGAACAATCAAGGCAGTTTTGTGAAGGCCTAACAAGTTGAATCTGTCACTCCAAAATGTTCATAGTTCAATACCAAGTAACAGATAGGCAATTGACTGGAGAGGACTGAATAAGATTGGTGTAATGATATCCACTAACTAGAGCCACAAAAGTGTATCTACAAGATGATCGTTCGCAATTGTGCACAAGCCGCCTCATAGGGTAAATTTATGTGCGTATTCTTATTTTATTTTTGTTGATAGCTCCAGCAAGTAGAAATCAAGGCTTAATCATACCAAAATATTAACATGCCGACGAAAACACCAATAATACAAATCCTCAGGAAGGCGGGAGGAAACACATAAAATCTCAAGAGTCGCATCAAATCAATAAACTAGCAACCACATCAATATTTTTTATCACTCGCCTAAAAAGGATACTGTCTAATACTATCAAATTCTCTCTACAGAATATGTCAATCATGTACTTGTAAATGAAGATAATCTTCAAGATAAGAATAAAATAACAAATATGAAGGTAAATGGTGCTAAAAGAAAGCCGAAGAAACCTCAAAAAGAGATTCAGATTCGTTCATCCAACTGATTCAAATTGTTGTTTTTTTCAAAACAATGATAACAAGGAGTTCAAAACACGAACAAATATTGGGAAGAAGAAAACTTGCAATCACTACATATTATCTCTCATCACACACACAAGAACTGGCACTTAATTAACAAATAAACCGAGTACATGAATGCCAGTAGAATTACTTGAAAATTGACAAATTTTGAGTAATAATTTAACAGAAAGTCTGCTGCAAAGAAGGCATGCTCCAGCAGGGACTTGTGGCAACTTCTCATCTCGAGTTACCTGCATCCAACATCGTTTAAGATTAGACAATATATTGACAAGATTTTAGNATGCCATATTATAAAAAGCTTGGGGGTAAGAATGAGTTTCGTTCTAGTGCTCTAAAATAATATTTCAAAACTTCCGTACGTTCTCCATTACTCGTATGAATAAGACCTATATCATAGAGTACATAATTTCGATCACTGGAATCAAGTCGCAAAGCTTCATAATAATTATGTAAAGCTTTTGCATAATTTCCTTTGAATTGAGTTGACATCCGTTACGGTCGTAATTCAATTGAAAGAATCTCCACTCCAGAATCGTACTTGAGATTTTCATCTCATACGACTCCTCCATTATGTTCATAAGGAGAAAAATACACTTTGAACCTCTATAAATTTTATATATTTTCTTTATGTGTTCTCGATAATATAGAATTAACTTAGTGAAGTAAACATAAGTTAATCGTTCACATGTTGAGTAGGCAAATAAGTAAACTGAGTTCCACTTTATGAAGTTAAGCAGTCACTGTAGTTAGATCGCAGAGGTTTTCCTTATGCACATAGTGAAGTAAACATAAGTTAATCGTTCACATGTTGAGTAGGCAAATAAGTAAACTGAGTTCCACTTTATGAAGTTAAGCAGTCACTGTAGTTAAATCGCAGAGGTTTAACATTAAGAAATTCCCTTGGCCAAAAAAGGAAAGAGAAGGGAAGCAGGAAATACATATTTTTACTTAAAGAAGAGCATGCTCGACTGAGCTTAAAAGTAGGTCTAGTTCATTTTCAACTGTACAAATTTGTTTCATAATATTTTCAGGTCTATTACTTTTTCTTACTTACAAGTAAAATAAGTACTTATTTATAAGTTTTACTATACCATTATTGTTTCTAGTTCTATTAGAAATATGTTTGTTTGAGATGATTTTTATAAATAGTTATTTTCTTTTCCCTTTTTTTGAGAATATTTCGTGTTTAATTTACAAGTTATCAAGAAAACGGATATGTATATGTTGAAATTTCTTACTAAGGATATACTTCTAAAAATAGTTTTTTAATGGAAATTAGATAGATATTATTAGGCTTAACTATTTCCATTAATTTGAGAAGATTCAATATGAGTGTTTTAATAAATGAAGATTAAAGCTTTATTCAGTAAAATATTACTTATTAAGGCTGTGAGGCACTTAAGAAAATTGATAATTTGATCATAATAGGAATGGTAGGAAATTGGCAAGACAAATGCAAATTAAGGTTTATTCATTTGTTCACTATAGTTGGTCAAACGATGTTTCAACTTTGAAAATAAAAAATATATTGACAAATCCAATGGTCACTCACAACACAAATATATAGGTAAATACATACAAGCATGCATATACATATTGTGGGATGATCGGTAGACCAAAATCAATATAGTCGTTTATCTTTCAGTCTACGAATGCCCCTACCATATGACAAACGACACAAATCCTGAGAAATTTTAAGAAATATTATAAAGCATTGCAATATTAAGGCTAAATATTCAACAAATTTATGGGTAAGTATCTATTTTGTAAGTAATGTAACAATTGCTTTGAAAATGAATTACTTATTTCCAATATCAACTAATAAAAGTACTGTATATTACACAAATTTAGTTAAGTACTTATAGTTAAACTTACTCATAATCTTAGCCAAAACATAAGGATTAGGGCTTATCCAACCTATGCTAAAGTGGTCAGTATTGACGCACAGACCAATACCTTGGCTTTGTATAGAAATGTCAGAAAGAAGGGAAGCAAGCAAAGAGACAATCAGCCGAACCCTATTCGCAGTTATCTATGTAACATCATTAAACAGACAACACAATGGAAATGTCCGTTAATATATATGCACCTATGGCCATACTTTTTGGGAAACCAAGAAATGAAAGTGTTCATTGTAGTGCAACATGATTCCTTAAAGTTAACACTAAAAACAAACCTCAAATCCATGTCTAGGTAATGAATCAGATAAGCACAAATGTAATGCAGATGTTAGTTTTACCTGGGACAAGTTCTAGTTCTTTCCTTTGCTATCGTGGCCGGAATGCCTGCTGCCAGGGTACAACTGGAGTCCGGCGTCGAAACTGGCCGGGAAATGGTGGTGATTCTCCACAGGTGGAGCAACAGGGCCGGTGAAGAAACTTAGTGATCCATGATCAATTGGTGAAAACCTGTGGAGGGGAGTAAATAGAGACGAAGAATTGGACTGAAGGGTCCCCCGATTGAATCCGGCAAGGCCGGAAGTAGAAGAAGACGGCGACATTGTGAAGTCAAGATTGTACTGGTTGTGACTATTATTGTTTTCGTTACGCTTAGCAGAAGGGAGAACTGAAACGAGCTGATCCGGAAGAAAAGAGAAGTGGGGGAGCTCGGGGTGGTCACCAGCCAAGCTAAACAGTGGTGACGACACTGTTGTTAGTGGCGGAGAGAGCGGACTTCCCATGAGCATCTGCCCCGACCGCGTCGCCACGGCCGGGCCTAATAGCCCACTCGTAAAGTAATCCATAGGACTACTCGTGGTATTACTGCTCGCATTATTGATGCCCGCACTTAAGAGCTCGGTGAAAGAAGTGGTTTGGGAAATAGGGTTCATATGAGTGACTTGGGATGACTCGTTGTCTTTCTCCTTCTCCTTTTCTGCAACTCTCTCCTTAGCACGCTCCCGAGCTTTGACCCGATTTTCAGATCTGCACAGTGACAACCCGGAATTTTTGCTGGTTTCGGAAGTACTACTACAAGCAGAAGATTTGGACAACGGTGTCATATGTTGGTAATTCGGAACGCCGCCACCGTCAATTTCAACTTCAGCCGAATCAAACTGGTGCTGATAGGCGGCGTCACCAGTGCTCGACTTCTCCGTCAGCTGATTAGGGTTATTGTCTGGAAATGTAGCAGTCATCGGAGGAAGCTCCGAGATGGAGGTGGCCGCCGCCTTCAGCAGCCACTCGACAGCCTTGCTAGGCTGATCATATCCTAGCCGATCCTGCAAATCGTAGAATTGAATAGCAGTACTCACAGAGAGGCGTACACGGCGGTCCCTTAGACCTTTCGAGGTCAGAACTTTGCTGTGCCGATCCTTTCCTCCGGAAGCTCGAGAAACCCTCACGATTCTCGAGGAAGACCAGCCGTAAATCCTACCAAGTCCGCCACCACCACCAGTTAGATCGACTCCACCGCCGCCCCTTTTCTGCTCTCCATCTTCATCATCTTTATGAGTCAGCCCTAACTTCGCTGAATCAAGCCTCCCATTACTGGTTCTTGAAAACTTACAGCCATGAGCTTGAATCTCATCCACCTCCATGCCACCACTCTCATACCTTTTTTCTCAACCCCTTTTTTCTTCCTTTTTAACTCAATAAATGAGATGGGTTTTAATGGAGACAGAATTTCAAGCGTTGGGGTTTTAGAGAGAGAAAGAGTAAACTCTTAACAGTAGGTGTGCAGCTGAGTGGTGGGTCTGTGTCCTTTGCATTGATGACGATTACACAGAGTACTTTGGCTTTTCTAATGACATATACATACAACACGGATATATATATATAGAGAGAGAGAGAGAGGAGTAAAAAGGCTTTTTCTACTGTTCCATAAATCGTTCTGCAACAGACAAAGGTCAGAAGAGGAGAGGTAAAAGGGAGGTGGCTCAAGCTTTTTGCAGGATGATGATGATGAATTTCTTAAAAGCAAAAACCGAGTTTTGGAAGAAAAAATTAAACATAAAAAAGTTCAACCATCTTGCAAGAAAATACAAAAGAAAAAGTATCAGATTCTGAGGAAGAAAAATTATAAATAGATAGTCGAGATTAAAAAGTAAGGAAAAATAACTGATGTAATGAAGAATGGTGTGTGGATAAGTGAGACAAACTTATAATTGACATTTTTCGTTCGTCACTTTTTCGTAAAATTCCAGTATTTAAACAAGAATTAGGTTTTCATTGTTTTGGTTGATTGGTTGGTTCGTAAACGAAAATTAGGGATTTCGGCATTCTCCAAATTTCCTTTCTATTTGATCTTAGTATTCAATCTTGCGTCAACAAAGTTGTGGGTCAAGATCAAAACTCGACGTTCTTTAGTGAATCAACGAATCGTGATTGTCATTTCCGATAATCTTAAGAATGAATAGGGTTTGATCGTTTCTTATTTCTCGCCATGTCACTTATTTTGGCACGTTTGGCTTTACCACATAATAACTCTCCATACTACACAAAACATGCTATCTTGATAGCCATTCTTTTACCAGCAAAATAACCTTTTTAAACTTTTTAAGTATAGCCAAACACAATTGCTTTTTAACCTTACTAAGATTTGGGTCTAATGGGAAAAGGGGTACACAGATAAGAGGTGTAGTTGCTGGTAGTTAATGGCAAGTGACCCTAATATGTAAATCCTTTAATAGAATTGCAGATATTATTCTCTGCTCAAAGACAACCACATAAATGAATAAAAACTCCAATTATAGTATTATACTCACCAATCAAATATATTTTTGAGGCAATTTTTAGAGAGAAAATGATAAATAATTATTTAGAATTCTTGAGTTTAATAATCCTTCAATTCGTAACGACTGTTGTGGTTACCATAAAGCTAATACACGATAATTATCGAAGGGCAATAAAGGACCGCCAAATTTTAAGTTGCTTGATGTCTACTTAACTTGCTTAGTTTGATCAAATGTCGAGTTGATCGAGGAATAAGTCACCAACTCGACATGGAATTGATGCATAATTCGGAGTTCATTTTAACAAAAATTAGCACAAATCAAGAGAGAGAGAGAGAGAGAGAGAGAGAGAGAGATTTCACAATGAACACAAAATGCAATTTTATTTTATTTTTCAAATAATCAACGGAAAACATAAAAATTAAATTTTCTTGAACAAGATGAAAATGAAAGGGAGTAAAACTTTTATCCGAATTTCCAGTGGATTTGTTCCCTTATTTCCCAGCTTTCCAAACCCCAAAGCCATTGAAAAAGCTCGTGCCACGCTCAAAAAGTTGCCTCCTTCAAGGCTTTAAACCCACCCACCAAAAAAAAAAAAAAAGAGGGTTTTCGATTTGTGCAGAGAGCACATTAATTGTTCTTTTAGCGACAAAAAATTACTTTTAAACACAATTAAATATGTTACAACTAGATATTTTTATTATAATTTACTAAATTTATCGAGTTATTTTTAAGAATTAAAATTGCATGGATGTCAACTAGCACTAAACTCTTGGATGCCATCAAGATATTAATATGAATAAATGTAATGTAAGTACTTGCGCACACTACGACTTTTTAGGCACATTTTTTTTTCAACTTTTTAAAGCACGTTTATTTTGTTTTTGTTATAAACCAAAATGCAATTTAATGCATTTACACTTGTTTACATGTTGCATTTTCATTGTCACATCGTGTTAAGAATACCAATTTTTTCTGACAATATGAAAAAAAAAAAAAAGAAATAGAATTTTAGTTTAATGTGCATATTTTTCTCAAATTTGAATTAATCTCGTGAGAAAAGATTCATTAAGATAGTCGATGTACGTATAGTTGATGAGACGTGACCCGATAATATGGAGATATAATCAATTCTTTTTTTAATTTTTTTGTATGTTTTGGTTTCAAATGCAAAATTGTAACAAATCAATTATGTGGCGCATTATTTGACCACGAGGTTCTTGTCCTATATCGGGTCACGAGTTGATTTTTCAGTCAATCAAGATTTTAAAATTGTGGTCTATCTTTCAAAAAATATATATCATAGAACTCTCCAACCACTCATTTTGCAAACATCCAATGGGTGAAATAACGAACTATCGAACAATTGAATTACTCGAATATTCGAGCAACTCTAACATTTAACATATGTTTGACACCCATTTTGGGTTTATTATAAATTTTGAAATAGTGATTGATGGAAGTAAGGGCTGATCCAGCATCCGTCAAGTCGGAGCAGCAGCCCGTGGTGGATCCGTCGAGAAAAAATATTAAATGAAGATTTTATATTAAATATATATACACTTTAGTGCAAAAATATTATAGGACAAACAATGTAACTCAAATGGTTGAGTGTTTACAATCCATGGGAGATGATTGGGGTTCGAATCCTTTCACTGACATTCTTTCTTTTAATTTTTTTACTTCAACTTAGATTAAAAATGCGGATTTTAATCTCTATCAAAGATGAGGTAACTCGAACAGGGCGGAGCCCAATGAGATCCAGTGTGGGCATGAATACACACTGAACTTCTAGGTTTAACCCCATGGCTAATTTTTTTAATTTTTAAGTAATATGCTAACTATTAACCCAAGGGTGAAGCTCAAAACCATTATCAATACCCACTACCCTAATGTAAACGGCTCAAACCACTACTCAACTCAATCCAAAAAATTAAAAACATCACGATCATCCAGCCTCCATCTCGATCCATTTTCCTCCAGGCTCGATCTCTGCCTCTGCCACTCTGTTTGACTGCGTCTCCTCCAGCCGGCAGCCAGCCTCCATTTCAATTAAAAACATTAGGGTCGCAGCTCCAACCTTTAGCCTCCAGTTCCGCGGCTGTTCCTATTCTACTTTGAGCCCTAGACCAGTTGACCACCTCCTTTGCCTCCATGCCGACGATTCTTCTTCTTCATCCTTCGACAATCGGCAGCAGTAACCTACTGTAAGTCTGTAACTAGCTTGGGTCTTTTCGATTATTACTATATTTTGTGTATACGGTATGCATAAATGATAAACCGTTTGGGGTTTGATTCCTTCATCGGTGTTTTATATGATTTTGGTGTTTTTAAATGCGTATTTGTGATTTGATTGTTATAAGTTGCACATATTCATGTTCAATTGTGTAGAACAATAGATTGAATTTTGTAGTCTGTGTTTTTTAGATTATTACTTAACTGGTTAATCCAGATTCCAGTGCTTTGCAGCTCTTAATTTTCTATCATTTTCTCCCATTTTCTCATATGAATCTGAAGCATTGAAATAGCTGCCAAGAATTTCACACTTTGTATTGGAGTCCTAACACACCATTGAGGGTCTTCAGCCTTACACAATCAGTCATTTTCACCACTTCTTCTAAACCAGAAAGATAGCATGTCAATGTCGATTCCACTAACTCATTAACCTAAGTCATTGTTAAGTCACCATTGTTTATGACTCAGCTCTCTAGCATGGCTAACTCCACCATTCTCCGGTCTACCACTGCCATTTGCTGCCGCTCCATTTCTCTCATCAACATGTCCTCCTCCGCTTTGATCTTCTCTCTCAAAGCTTCATTTTTTTTTTTCATCTGTTCGTCAATCATACCTGCTAGACTTGCACCAGGTGTTCGAGTTTTTGTGAGCTAGTCAATGAGGTGAAAAGCCATTGATGGCTTCCAACTAGTGATCCAGAGAAGGCATTCTTGAGTGGACTTAGCCAAACTGGGGCGAAAAATGCTAAAAATTCTTCACTTGCTACAGCCCATTTTGCAGTGTAGTAATCTTTATGATGTGGTGTGACTTTTTTTCACTGAATTTCCATGATCATCGACTTTATATTTTTATCATTAAATTCATAACAAAAAACTCGATATTCAACATCAATAAATTGTGCCTACACTGAGTTACTTTCTTGGTTTCGCCCCTCGAAGGTTAATATGGAAGAGATTATTGAAAGAAGGGAAATCTTTGTCTTTGGAATTAGAATCCGAAAGTGTCGAGTAAAATACAATCTTTAATAAACTAATAATGATTATGATTTCATTAATATATTTTAAAAAACGATTGGTGGATAAGACACCTAATTTAGTAAAAAGAAAAATAAACAAACATTGACCGTACAAGTAACATTAAGATATTACAATCTTAATAATACTCAATTTCGTGTGATGGATAGCATTTACTATGACGGTCCACTCGCACTAACAAACAAAATATTTCGGTGCTTAGCCCACTTCTTCACTTCTATGGAATGTGTACTCAGCTGGAAAATTTTGCTCAAACCTAATTTTTCCACTTAATAAAAGTGACCTTTGATTGATAGTTTAGCAGCGCGATTCACGTTTTTGAATTGCTTGGTTACTAAAAAAGATTTAAGTTAGTAGCGCGATGCACGTTTTGGAGTTATTTGCCTTGTGCATGCATGATGCGTGTTCGACGTATAAATTCATTTTTAATTTCAAGTACACATTTAGTTAATATTGTCAATAACTTAAGTCCCCGTTTTGATTTCATTTTTTTCAAAAATCATTTTTAGCCACATTCTCTCATAAAATAATATTACACGAAGATTCAAATTTTTCCTTATTTTTTAACCACATATCATCCAAATAAGGGCTAAAACTTACTTTTACTATTCAGTAATAGTTAAATTTTACTTTCAATTATATATTCAAAATCAATACTCATTATTATCTTAGACATTTCATGGTTCTTTTAAAAGGTTACAAATAACAAATCCTAAACAGAGGATAAGTGAGAGTTTCGATGAAATTATTTTTGACGTACTGGGTTCGGTGGTCGAAAATTGGCTTGACTTCACCAGAAGGCCTCCTCTCTAAAAGATGGGCTCACGAGCCACTCTCTTGGAGCGGAAGTATATGTCAAAAACTCTAATTTCATAAAGGAATGAGCTATGCATGTCTACTATTTAATTTCGATGAAATTGCTCTTCCATCTAATAGTGACGACCCAAGTATACACCTAGAGCTGTAAATGGATCAGATATGGATCGGATCTGCCTATATCCGATCCAATAAGAATATTATCTGATCCGATAATCCAATAGATATTTGATTATTAAATTCATATCCGATTTGCTATGTTATCGAATATCTGATCCGATATTAATAAAAATTAGAAAAAAAAAATCAATGTTCTTTAAAAAATTTTGAACTAATTTGAGGCCCACATTTTTTACTAGCAAACCCAATAGTGACTTCTATCATCATGATATTCCTTTTTAAAGGAGAAATCATCTGGACATTCGATGTGGGATAAGGTAAAATTGAATTTCAATTTTAAATATAAATATCTTTTATTTCATTATTTCTATTAACAAATCAAATTATTTATTACATATTAATTATTAGTTTTTGAAGTTATAAAATAAATTACAATAATAAATTTAATTAAAAAATATAGATATTTATTATTTTAAATTAGTAAACTAAAATTAAAAAAACCATTGTTTTTATAATATTTTACATTTGAACTCTTGAAGAAAATATATAAACATTTCATATATCCTTCCATATATTCTTGTTTGTGATTACATAGATTATTTACCTTCGACCGGGTGATCGTTGTTAGTGCGATTGTTTTCGTTCCACCCGCCGGAGCTCGAACAATTTTGTCTTTCGCCGCAAAGTACTACCCGCGTCCACCTTCTTCGTGCTACCGTCATCACTCCGGTAGGAACGCGCCAAAATCGTACTTGACTTGGAGTGAGTGAGCCCGACATCTGTTGATACATTTTTTGGGATCAACACAAGGATTCCCTCTTTTAAGAGAATGAGAGATAAAATGTAGAAACTTGATTGAAAAAAAAATTATATCTTTTGAATATCTAGGATCAATGTTTCTAAATTATTGATTATAGAGAAGAATAAGGCCTCTGAACATTTTTTTTATTCGACTTATCTGCCCACTTCATTATCGGTCTTTATTTGGTCCTTAAAACTTGTATGTTCCATTCATATTCTGAAAGCTGGACTACTTGTTTTTCATAGGCCAAGTTCATGTATTTTTTTTTGCCTTCATTATCTACCGGTCTCTAAGCATTTCTTGTTCAATTTCATGACTCAACGAGTTAGTTGTTGCGCCATCCGTCTCTATCAAGTTTTAAAATTAACCGATTACTTTATTTGAAAACCCAAAAGCTGGTTTGTCAAATATTCGGTTCATTTCTTTCTTTTCTTTTGCTTTTCTCGTTCACTTTATTTTGAAGTCGACAAGAGTTGGTTGGGATACGAGAGAGAGAGAGATTACCAACTTCAAACTCCTACATTTCTAGGTTTTAGATCCTGATTGAGTATTGGAATGAAAGTTTACATGTGAACACTTGCAAATGTTGCAGAACACGAATTTGTGGTAAATTTGGTAATACAAGTATAAATTAATTTGAGTTTAATTTAATGATATGTTCCCTTTGATCCCTTTATGAAGAAAACTTGTAATAGACATTGGACAATGGATTGATGAGATTACGCTAAAGGACTCTAGATAACAACCTTAAATTCTATTCTAATGACTTTGAGAAACACTGATAAATTAGTTCACAAACTCGTATGCGCATCACAAGGAAGCAACCCAATTGATACACAATCGAAATCAAATATACTATTTGAATTTACATAGAACATGAATAACCTAAACTCTAGCCAAATCAACATTGTCAAACGCTTAACATATACCAAAAGAATGACTTCTCTTGTGCCCTTGTTCTAATCATCTCTTTCTTTATGATATCCACCTCTCACTCACCTCTTGTGAAAGATTGTAGGAAGACAGGCGCAAATGGCCTTTTCACATCCTCAATTCCTTCAACATTGTCCTTGATTGAAGCAAATTCTCCTTGGAAAGCTAACACGGCATTTGTTGAGAAGTAATATTGTGCATTATAATGTACAAACCATAGACATGAAGGACTTGCATTTTCATGTCAAATAATGAAAATTTAATATACAGAACATGTGAAAGAAAGCAAAACCAGAACAAGTTAAATCACTCTCTTTCTCATAACATCGATTCTTTCCGAAACTTCCTCTGCAATCGTCTCGAGCTTTGGTGCATTAGAAGTTTTTTTAGGAGAAATCATAGGAGAAGGTGCAACCTCAACCCAATGGTGCATGTACCTTATTGGTTTTCCCATAATCAGCTATGAAAAAAAAAGCTGCTTTTTCTTGGTCTATTTTTCCTTCCTTGAGTGGCCTTTGAGAGAGATTTCTTGATGAAGCTAAGAGAAACTGATGGGATGGAGAAGAATTCAGGAAAATGTGGTTTAAATTAACTTGTTTTGGAACCTACGATTGGGAAAAATCTTCGGATAAATCAAGAACTCAGAATGCCAAGTGTCTATAGTTTCTAGATGGTCTCTTCCTCCACAATTCCCCGCAGAGGAAGGTACCATAGTAGTCAAATTCATGGACATTCGATTTGAATACAACATTTTTGAACTAGTCAAGGGACAAGAATTCTCAAGTATATGGAGCCCTTTCTAGAAGAAATTTTCATTCAATATGCAGATAGAGCTACTAGAATCACATCGTTTAAAAATTTTATGTCCTTCAAAGAAATAAAATTTATGTTTTATAAGACCCTAGACATACGGGCCACAATCATTTTTTTATTATTATTGAAGTTCTCATATATGCACAATTTTTTTTAGGGTGGCAACAACTTAAAATTTTCACACTTTTCTGCTCCAATAGCATGTTGAACATCTTCGTCTAAAAATCTTGAGCTATTACAGAATGGACGAACTTAGAAATTCTAAGAACAAACGAAATAAGGATGAATCAAGTCTTCGTGCAAGGAAAAGCCTGCAACAGCTTGTACATTAGGGATTACTCATGTTAATTAGCAAAACTTAATTTACAGAAGACAACCCAATACACATCACGGTTAAAAACATCGGTATATCTCCACTGTTTATTCACCAAAAATGAGTGGCGTTAAGACAGGAAAACACTGCAGTAAGTTGTCCGAAGGTACTCTGGAGCAATTTCTTCTTCATCAACACTGGATTATTTCAGTGGCTCGTGATCTGCCATTTGTTCATATATTGTTTCGATGGTTAGGTCAACGTGGAGTAGAGCATTGATGAAATTGGAGTCCGGCTGGAGGGGTGGATTGTGGATGATTGTTCAACAGATGGAGAGATTCGGTTCCAAGACATCATTCCATGAAAATGACACTTGTTCCTTCAAGCAGATTTTTCCTTCTTTTTTATCACAGTATAATGTTTCGTGCTAACCTTGCGTTTTCTATGCTTTTCTGATTCAATACTCTCTTTCAATTTCTCCAAAGCTGGTTCAAAAGAATGATACAGCCATATAGGAATCAGAAAATAAGAGAAAATGCATCACATGAATTACATATGTATGCACAATTCTTTTTTCTTTTGCATGGAAAAAGTAATATTTTCTGGAATACGTCAAGTTTGAAATACTAGAATTACCAACAGGATGAGTTAAATTATATATAACTTCCAAAAGTCCGTGGATAAAATAATGCACGAATTACCAGTAGTGTACAGAGAACGAAGCGACTCTATTGATTCAGACGGTATAGAATAAACAGGACACGAGTTATTATCAGCCTTCTGCAAAAGCTTTTTGAATCGCTTAACCTGAAATGAATTCAGGCACGTGAATTCCAAGTGTTACGAGCAATATATGAGGAAAAAATTATCAAATTTCAGAACCATCTTTGTTTGCATATATTTATTTGACTTATGTTAATTAGAGAAACAAGCAAATGATATTCAATATTGCTTCAGAATGCACGGTGACAAAACATGTAAATAAAGGAAAACACAGCGAATCAGAAATACAGAATCAGCAAAGAGAAAAGACTAAAAGGATGGGAAAGTAGAAGCAATTGAAGAAACAGAAAACAAGCAGGAAAGAAAAAAAAATACCTCGTCTTTGAGCAACAATGTGAAGCAACACCCAGTTTGACCAGCTCTCGCAGTTCGACCAGCCCGGTGAATGTATGTTTTGATATATGCGGGCATATCATAATTAATTACATTTTTCACCCCTTCAACATCCATTCCACGAGTCATCGCATCAGAGGAAACTAGCACTTGTATTTCTCCAGATCGGAATGCCCTCAATGTCTTGCTGCAAGACAGATTTCTTGGCAAATTAGAAAGCAATTGTGCACGACTGTATAACTATAACCAATGACCATGAATTGATAAAAAATTGGACATTGCGATCATCAATCTCTTTGTAACTGATCAGATTTTAGTGACTAGTTTTCCGTTAAGAAAAAAATTATGACATGTTACCTAGGAAGCCTGTAAATGCTTATTTTATATCTATATATCACTCAACTGCACAAGTTCACAGCTTGACAATAAATCCCCATTCTTATCTCCCATAACAAGCGAAGCAAAATATTAGTGTGGGGCACAATAAAAATCTTACAGTTTCAAAAATCACATTCATTAACTTTCTATTTAAAACAGACAAGAAAAATATACATTACTAAGTTTGCAACTTCATATGCAATAGTATTTTTGACACGCAATATAGCCCGTCATCACATAAACAAATCAGAGCTGGCTGTCATTGACTAAAGATGAAAGAGATACATGAACATCTATTTTGAATAGTTATTTAATGTGACTAGAAAAAATCAGAAAGCCACTTTCCATTAGATATATACAAGCATTCCCTTGAGCTTAGTTCATGTTAAAGAATCATTTCCAAGGAGAAGATATAGGTGCAATTTTCACTTCTATACAAACCCAAACCCAAAGCCATAGTACAATGGCCCCAAATATTTAGAGGGGTGCCAACTGACTCAACTAGAACCAATATCACTGACACAAGGATAGGACTATTTGATATATTCACAAGCAGGTTATGGAACCTGTAGCACATATTGCTTATTTTTAGTCAATTTATCTCTGGACTTAACAGATGTGAAGTTAAAAGCAAGTATCATGGTCAGTGTACATCCCCACATCAGTATTATTTCCTTTTATTCCCATTATAGCATCACTTTCGGCAGAGGCAGGGGGTATATGTTTCAGAGCATCTGATTGTAGTTGTACTTACCCACCATAAGCAAATGTGTGTGTGTGGAGGGAGAGAGATGGACTGAGATGAATCAAATTTAACTCATGCCAACCTACCTTTATCCCTCGATCTCCATCTCACGTTCTATTTATGGAAGACATTAAGAATGAACAGAAAATAATTTATTTTAATAAACAATGTAAGTGGGTTTAGACTACCTTCTTATGGTCTGACGTTGAAGCCGTGAGTATTCTTTGAACTTGATTTGCCGATCACCAAAGAAATTCAGTAAGGTGCATAGCCTATGAGTTGATTCTACAGATGATGTGAAAACAATACACTTCTCCCCTTGCAAAGTTTCCAATAGGACAAGTAGATAAAGTGGTTTAAGCTTTGGTTCACATATCTGCACTCGATCGAAGGAATTCATCAACATAAACATCAAGACAAATGTTATTACTTGACCAGTCAGAATTGCAGCCAAAGATAATAATTTAAAAAGCAACGCACTTGAAACAAAAGACATGGCACAAGTACAAAAAATTTATGAATTAAGTTTTTGCATCTCCAGTTGTTCACCTCTTGAATTTCAGAATGTACTGTACTGAATTTCATATACATCAAATCCCACAAGATATATGTTATTTTTCTTTTTGATAAGGAAAACAATAACAAAACAATAAAAGTTGTAATGAAATAAAAGAGTGCTTGTTTTCGGCATATTCTATAACCACAAAATTTGAAGCAAATATACATATTTGAAATGAATCAAAGCGTAAAGTAAAAGCATGTGGTAATAGAATACTTTAAAAAAGAGCATGGTTGCACATGTGAAAGACTTGTGTTTTGCCAGTAGAATTAGATGTCCATACCACTTTGAGGGATTTTAGTTGTTCAGGGAGCTGGTAACGCCTTGGTCCAGTAGTCAAGAACAAAGGATGGTGAAGATCAAGCTGCGCAAGCTTGCTTGGATCCTGGGTTAATGTTGCTGATAGAACCATCTTCATAAGCCTCGGGTAAGGCTTAGCCTTAAACCCCCGTTCCACACCACTGCATGAATTCCAGTTAGGTCCAACTAATAATGTTAGTATCAACTAGAAAATGCTTTGAAATCCTTGAAAGAACAGACAAGGAGATTTTAAACATATTGAAACCCCAAAAGTCACACCAAGTGCAATAACAAAAAGCAAGAGAATGCATCTGACACAAATCAAAAGAACAGACAAGGAGATTCGAAACATATTGACCCCAATAGTCACACCAAGTGCAATAACAAAAAGCAAGAGAATGCATCTGACAGAAATCAAATAAGATATAAATATTTATCAAGACTTCTAATGCCTACAATGTAGTGCACACCTCTATTTTCTCCTACCATTAAGATGTAAGACTGGACTGAGCTGAGTTATTCTATACAATAAAAGTGTAACATGCACCACCAAAAAAACAATAAGGATACCATCCAATGATTATAAATATATTATACCAAACATATCAAAGGATACCATCCAATGATTATAAATATATTTTACCAAACATATCAAGTCTTTAAACTTTACATGAAATTAACCAGCATGTTGTTAACAAAGGGAGAATCAAGAGTAGAACTCACAATCTCCTAATTGTCTTCAGAGACCCAAAAGTAGGAGATAAAATGCTGCTTGCATCCGGATACAGAGTTTGATTATGAGTGTGAGCCAATTGAAGGACAGTAGGCAGCCACGATTGATATGCCTCCCTAAGTAACCGATCTGTTTCGTCAACCACCTGATTATTTACCTCGTCAGTCATATGGGTTACTAACCAACATTTTGCCCAAGTGGGCGCACACACAAACAGAGAGCGAAGACCTGCATGTAAATGTTCAGGGGCCTAAACAAATATAGCTTTTTTCAGTTTTCATTATCACCGTTCAAACTACTGGCCACATTACACTTATAAATAGCTTCCAATTTATTCAGGCAAAAGAAGAGTCATTCGATCCACCAAAATGACACAGATAGAGAGAAATAATTGACAAGCAGAAGATGATACTTCCAATGACAACACAACAAAGTAGGTTAAAAGAACAAGGAATGCTTGGCCAAATACTTGGAAACACAATGCTAGAAGTCAATACTACATACAGGCAACAGAAATGAGAGATCACAAATTCAAGTTGTTAATGCAAAAGAGATTTAAAAGAAATTTTGATCCAAAATGGGGTCAAGGGCTTCAATAGCATAGGAGTTTATAGAGAAATAGAAACAAAAACTTAAGAGCAAATGAAGAATATAGCTCCACTAGTAAAGTCAATCTCTTGCTTACAAGATAACAAAGATGATCAAGCGTAAAACCCTTTGTATTGTAAATATGGTCCATCAGCCTTCCTGGTGTTGCTACCAGTATGTCCACTGAACTTCTTAAGCCGAATGAGAAATCTTCAGAGTCAAAACAGATACCAGCCTCTGGAGTAGGTTTCTTGATGAGCTCTGAAATTTCATCTGCAATCGAAGACTGACCAACAGCCAAACCCACAGACAAGCCTACTGCAGGAGCTAGGGAAGCAAAGACTTCCTTGACCTAAAAAGAACAACATCAAAGCTAATGTGATTTAGTGCTCTTCAATATTTAACAAGAAAGTCTGCCATAAAAAAGATTAGAAATACAATAAAGCATGGATGGAGGTATAATCTGGAAAACAATCTAATGATTAGGTTAACAATAATTGAATAAAAAGCCAAAAATGTACAGTGAATATATAGAGATGAATATATAACCTGCATAGCCAAGTCACGAGTGGGCAACACCACCAAAGCACGGAGATATTTTATTGCACGAGTTGACAATGTCTGCACAATTGGTAAAGCATAAGCAAGAGTTTTCCCACTCCCTGTAGGTGAATTTATACAAATATCACGTTCAAAAGAACCAGGTCCAATTGTCTCTTGCCAAACTGCAACTTGCACGGGAAAGAGTGAAGTGATACCCATGTTACATAATGCAGCCTCTAACCTGAAAATGAATACAACTAAAATAAGGAAAGCAAGGAGGGTGACGGGGGGAGAGAGAGAAATTGGATCATAGAAGAATAAGTAACAAATCATTCGACTAATCTAACCACAGTGTAATAAGTCGTGATGGTATTAATACATCCATAATTTAATCCAAACCCCTTTCCTATGCTGCCAGAAATTTCCACTCAGCAAAACAAACCACAAAATATATAGAAAACAAAATAAATACATTGTCCAGCTACACATTGCAATAGTACCGTCGTTGAACATATATNATTGCAATAGTACTGTCATTGAGCATATATTACCTGGGGTCCAGAAAAGGGAGGAAATTAAGCGGACATTCTTCGTAGAAGCTATTATCAACTGGATTTCTCATCCATGGCAACACCGGCACACTTGTCTTTTTTTGCTCCGTAGCCACCTCCATTGCTTCAATCCAATCCCATTAAACCATTAAAAATCAAGCCATTATTTCTTCAACTATTTAGTTACCAACATATGCGTGCAAATTCATGCATATATGATGGTAAACTATCATAAATAACTACAAAGATCTCAACTTAATGTGACCACACTTGTAATCTGTTTGAACTTTTTGATTTCATTAAAAAGTAAACAAATTTGCTCAATTCCACTAATGTTGTAGAATGTATAAAAAGGCAAATGCAAACAGATAAAGCAAATAAATCAAAATGAAAAGCTTCAAAATAATTGCAGTTTGCGTTGTATATGTGCCGAATACATACTAAACAACGATCAAAAGAACCAAATAACAAATTGCAATTAGTCTATAAAGTTAAGGTTTGAAATTTTAATACCTGAGCTGCGTAGAAGAATTGGAATTTCCGGCTGTTCTTGCGTTTCCTTGCCTATTGCATATGGTTAATTATGGGTCTAATAATTTGGGCAAACTGGTTAAGATGGGCTGAAATAGTTTTAGCCCACAAATTTCAATATCAAAAAATAAAAGGAAATATTCATAGGGAAAATTTCAGCAGTAAGACCAATTTCAAATAAGGTTTACTTTTTCAAAAATCAAATATTAATTTAAAATTTATTTATTAATTAAATATATTAGGGACAATATTATATAATTTATGGTCACGATTCAACAAATTTTATAGGCCACTATTTATTTCTCGATCACAAATTAAATAAATTATTTGGCTACATATTATTTTTTGATCACAAATCACAAATTTTATGATCCACGACTTATTTCATAGTTACAAAATATCAAATTAATTAATCACATATTATCAAATTAATTAATTACAATTTATTTTCGAAAACAAATACAAAAAATTATAGGTCATAAATCACAAATTTTATAGGTCACAAATTATTTCACGATCGCAAATCACAAATTTTACCAGTCACAATTTACCAAAATTTAAGTCACAGTTACAAATTTAATAACAATCACACAATATTCTGAATAATGCTACTTGCAGTCGCCCACTGCTGCAGTCGCCCTATGTTGCATACACGCGTTAAGTGTGTATTTGATGCATTAAATGTGGTAAAAAAACTACCACATTAATGCATCAAATAATTACATATCATGTGTGTGCCACATAAGACGACTGCTGCAGTGAGCGACTGCAAGTAGTATTACTCCAATATTCTAGATCACGTATTATTCACAAATTAACAATTTGTCAGTCACAACACCCAAATAATGGAGATTCTGCAACTTTCCACATTTGAGAAACACTATCAGTTGGGAAAAATTGCAACTATCTTGGGAAAAATGTACTTATTCCTGTATATTTTTGGCAATGGATTACTTAACAAGAGAGCTAAAACCAAAATAGAATTTTGATAATTAATACCGTTCTTCTTCTTCTTTGTTGCTGTTTCTTCGCTGCTGCTGCCGCTTCTTCTTTGATTTGTTCAGGGCTGAAGGGTATAAAGGGAAAATAGAAAATGAATTTTATTTTATTTTTTAATAGAAATAACGGTCAAAGGCTGAAAAATAAATGTTTTGATGAAGGTCAAAAGGCCTTTTGCAGCAGTACCACCATCGGAGACAACAGGCGAGAGGATAAGAGAAGAAATGGGTGTGAGCAGTGACCCGAATCAAGAGGGGTCGGACGAGCAACAACGAAGATCCGAGATCTACACCTACGAGGCTCCATGGAACATCTACGCCATGAATTGGAGTGTTCGCAAGGACAAGAATTACCGCCTCGCCATAGCCAGCCTTCTCGAACAGTACCACAACCGGGTCGAAATCGTTCAGCTAGATGATTCCACTGGAGAGATCCGTCCCGACCCGGCACTGTCCTTCGAGCACCCATACCCGCCCACAAAGCTCATTTTCATACCCGATAAGGAGTGTCAGCGCCCTGACCTTCTTGCTTCGGCTTCTGATTTTCTTCGCCTCTGGCAGATATCGGATGGCGGTGGTTCCTCTGGGGACGGGCGGCGCGTGGAGATGAAGAGCTTGTTGAATAATAACAAGAATAGTGAGTTTTCTGGTCCGCTGACTTCTTTTGATTGGAATGAAGCGGAGCCGAGACGTATTGGGACTTCTAGTATTGATACTACTTGTACAATTTGGGATATTGAAAAGGAGGTGGTGGATACACAGTTGATTGCTCATGATAAAGAGGTTTATGATATTGCCTGGGGAGGTGTTGGGGTTTTTGCTTCGGTTTCTGCTGATGGGTCGGTTAGGGTTTTTGATCTCCGTGACAAGGAGCATTCAACGATTATTTACGAGAGCTCCGAGCCTGACACTCCGTTGGTTCGGTTGGGGTGGAATAAGCAGGACCCCAGGTACATGGCCACGATTATAATGGATAGCAGCAAGGTTGTGGTTCTGGATATTCGCTTCCCGACTCTTCCGGTGGTGGAGTTGCAGAGGCACCAGGCAAGTGTGAACGCAGTCGCATGGGCTCCTCATAGTTCCTGCCACATATGCACAGCAGGGGATGATTCCCAGGCGCTTATCTGGGATCTTTCCTCCATGGGGCAGCCGGTCGAGGGCGGGCTAGATCCTATTCTGGCATACACTGCCGGTGCTGAAATCGAGCAGCTGCAGTGGTCTTCCTCCCAGCCTGACTGGGTCGCTATTGCATTCTCCAACAAGCTGCAGATTCTGAGGGTATGAGTAGATGATTCTATTTGACTGACCATCATCAGCCTCTACATTAGCTAGTTGCTGAGTGCAATCGATTATCTGAATTCAAAACTGTTTCTTTTTTATATTTTTTTTGGTATTAAAGCTTTGCAAATTGTTGCATTCAAAGAGTTAACCTATATCTTATGAATATTTCCATTGTTCTGTTATCTTGTATGAAGTAGACAGTAGTTGCAGTTTTCATGTATGTACTCAACAGTCAACCCTCGAGCAATTTATTTTCATGAATGCTGATTTATGATGCGGGGCAAATACTTTTTGGCGCCTGTTTACTAGCGCAAAATTACTAAAAGGGTAACTGGCTCGTATATTTGACATTTGTCTTGAGGATCGAACAATAGGTTAGATTAAATGAAACTTCTTTAAATTCCCAGGGAACTTCAAAATCTTTATTTTTTGAATTCCAATCAGATTATCAGAGCCAGTTAATGGTCTCTTGCTAAATATCAAATAAACTCTGTAAAAATAGAAGGTGCAACCTTGTTGCAGTTTGCTGTCTATAATGCCACCAGTCAAGCCCTTTTCTGGGCCTGACAGCAAGATAATAAACAATTTTTTGTCAGGATCAATGAAGGTTTACCTCCAAGGCAATCCATCTGATGCTTGAGGTGGCTAAGGGCATGGAAAAAATAGACTGGAATAAATTGCTAGGCCAGTGAGTACCCATCATTGACACTCAGATCATTGTAAATAACCTGAATTGTCTCTTTGTATGGAATTCTTGTTTCTGGTTACCGCAAATCTAATCTGGCCAATGTTGCTTGAGGTACCTATCAGTGATTATTTCAATCGTGGTGGTGTGAATTCATTTGTCTTGCTGTCAATGGCATTGGTCCTGTTTTCCTATCTCAACTGCTTACTTCTATTCAAGACTTTGTTCAATTATTGTTTTACCACTTGCTTTTTGTTTTGTTTATAACCAGTCTCTGGCAAAATTATAGTATATGCTGTGACTGATTTAAGAAAATGAAGGACTGAGCATGGACAATATGCTTCAGCTGAACTGTTTAATACTTGAGCTAGTGAGAATAATTTGATTTGCAAATTGTTCCTTTATTTGATTGATCTGACTTAATGAAATATGTTGGAAGGGAAAATTAACCGGGTTCAATTTCTTGTAGGTTTTGGTTTTGGTGATACATTTCTCATTTTATTCTTCTGTGTAGCACCTGTCTTTTTGTTGTATTTTGTGACTCTCTATTTAAGCTAAAAACACCAATTCTTGCTTTCATATTCTTGTGATTCCCTTCGCGAGGTTACTATGTTGTTCTGGCCTATATTATTTGAATAGACTGTTAATTTTTCCATGAAATTTAAATTGAGTTCGAAGTTGTGGAGTTGTTGCTCTTGTTCGAACATCAAAGCATCTTTAGAAAAGTGTCAAGGCACGGGACAATACACGTTCACAATTAGTTTGTAAGTGCTTATACAAGTTAAAAACACGTTGATTGTTAACACAGAATACTGGCTTGAAGTTTTGAGTAACTAGCCTATAAAAACCTATTATTTGATCCACCTTTTCTTCGTGCAGAGCTTGGTTAAGCCTTCAGTCCAGGCTGCGGTTGTAAACCAGATCTTATGAGTACTTGTAACAAAACTAACTATATTTTTTTCGCCAATGTTCCTCATTTCTGGTTGATGGGAAGTGGAGAATAGAATGCATTTTTTATCTGATGACAAAATTTTATTTCGTTTCTCTGGCTTGCATTTTCATTGTGAACTGTAGATGTAAGAAATGTGGTATTAGAGTAGAAAATGAAATATATTTGATTTTGTACTAATGTTCCTGCATCTTTATGCTAGTATCTTTTTTGGATGTGCAGACGTCTGATAATCTTGTTATAAAGTTTGTATCATTTGCATTTGAGTCTAAATGGACTGTTGCCTGGAATATTATGAAGATTCGAGATTCCTGCCCACTGAATTCATGGATAAAGAATTCCGACATTGATACCGGTTCTTGTAGTGATCATTTTCAGATTTTTTACACAAGGGCTCCCAACTTATAATTTGTCCCACATTAGCTTGTTGAACTTCAATTTGTTTCGAAATAGCATATATTTTATTATTTTATTTCAACATTTCTTTGTAGGGATTGCAGCTTGCTGGGTTGGGTTTTAATCACTATTCCCCGTCTCAGGGATTTTCGCTGAAAAACTCAATTCGCTGTTTCAATTTAATTATTTATTTATTTATTTATTAAAATATAATTTAAAGTTTTTAAAAAATTATAACCTGCCCTGTTTACTATTGGAGGGATGGTAGTACGGGTGTCACGCCTTTTCTAGAACGTGTTTTATACTGTAAATGTACGGTGTCAAGTTTTGTAATATAATAATGGAGTAAAAGTGTCGAACTCACAGATATTGTAATTTAATTCTTACTAAATATTATAATTATTTCAACTTTTACTTTATCTAGAAATCGAATCTAAAATCAATGTATCTATATTAAATTGACATGGATGTGTGATAATCTATAATAATATATTAAATATCACATGAAGTGAGAAACATTTTCTTGACGGTTTTAGTCATACTACAATTTAATTATTTCAATAGTACCTTACTTTTTGTTTTTGAATATATATTTAGAGCTTGTTTAGTAAAGCTAAAAATCCAATTAAAATTGAAAATATGATGTTATCGGGTCCTACTCGTCTAATAAAAGTCAACAATAACGGTTAGTTCTTCAATTTTAATCTGATTTTAATCTCTACCAAACACACTCTTAATTGAATATTAATTATTAAACATGCACGCAAATAAATAATTGAATTATACGAGAACAATCAAATTGATTCATGAACATGAAATTTAATTAATTTGAATCAATGAATATAGAAAAGGAATAATGTATATACGTTTAAATAAAGGGGTGTAAGTTAACCAACATGAAATTTAATTAATTTGAATTAAGAGATATAAAAAATAATAATTTATATACATTTAAA